GCAGGCCATGCAGCCCCCTTGCGAGGCCGAGCTGCCCTCCGCGACCCCACAGCTGGCACCGCGGGATGAGCTCCCCACCCCAGAGCCCTGGCGCCAGCTCTTCCGTGGCCTGCGCTACCGGGAAGCCGAGGGCCCAGGGAGGATTTGCAGCCGCCTGCGGGAGCTGTGCCGGCGCTGGCTGGAGCCCCAGCGCCGCAGCAAGGAGCAGATGCTGGAGCTGGTGGTGCTGGAGCAGTTCCTGGCCATCCTGCCCCCGGACATGCGGAGCTGGGTGTGCGGGTGCCGCGTGGAGACGTGTGCCCAGGCCGTGGCCCTGGCCGAGGGGTTTCAGCTGGGGCAGGCGGAGGACGAGAAGCTCCAGGTGAGAGCCTTGGTTTGGTGCCATCTGCACCTCCACGTGTCGGGGGATGTTCCCCCCCAGATCCCGGCTCCCCAGTGACACACGTGTCTCGTCCCCAGGTCACCGTGCGTGTGAAGGTCGAGGAGGGGTCCTCAGACCAGATGCAGCCCCCGGGGGCCCTGCCGGAGCCTGGTGATTCCTGGGGGCAGCAGCCAAATGCCCGTGGTGAGGACAGGCCTCTGGAGGAGGCAGGAGAGCGGGAAACCCCAGGGCCCGAGGACGAGCTGCCCCATGTCCGCAAAGAGGAGCCCCCGCCCAACCCGGAGCCAGGTCCTTACCAGCCTTTTTGATGTACAAGCTTAACATGGGCTCGACACCCAAAGAGTAGCAGTTACCTCCCCACACCCTCCGCCATTATTAGTGTTGGCGACGGGGTTTAGGTCAGTTGAGTTTGGGGGACAACTAAATAGAAAACAGGGGTGGAAGTGGGGTCGCAGGCTCCAAACAAGTGCTGCATGGGGGGACAGCGAGCGGGGCAGAGCGGGCAGTAGCCGGTGGCTCATGAATGAGTCCAAGGAGCCAGGGGCAGGTGAGGTGCGGGGTGAAGTCTTGGCGTGCAGTTAGGAGCTGGTCCTGCTGCAGCTCCCCGGGACAGCGGAGGCCCCGTCCCCCAGTGCAGAAATCTCTCTGCCAGATCAGTTCGGTGGGTCCGTGCTCCAGCAGGTCGGTGCCTCGTGTTCTCCTGGTGCCCCTGGGAGCATTTCACATGTCCTGGCGTAGAATGACCCTGCATTTCCCCCTCCCTCCGCCCAAACATGTGGACGTGACCCAACACCAGCATCCCTCCAGGTCCCTTCTCAGGGACTGATGTCACGCTGCCGTGATCACCACCGGCGCTGGGGCAGTTCTAGGGGCTCATCTCCAGCCTCTTGCCAGTGGGACATGAATCTCCCGTCTCCCCTCTTCCACACACTGCAGCCTCCAGCTCCCTTCTTCCCAGGCCAGTCCAGGAGACAAGCAGGGCTTTCCCCGTGCCACTACCCAGCAGGGCTCACCTGTGCACTCTCTTCCACCCGCAGGTGCCGGGACCCTGAGCAGAGCGGATCAGCAGCCTCCCGAGGAAGGGCCTGTAAAGCTGGAGCTGCAGAGCCCCTCCCCAGGGAGACGGGGACAGAGCGGCTCCCTGACGCCTGGGCTGGGCCAGCTGCAGGAGGGGCAGGGCAGGCCGGCGAAGCAGGGGCAGAGCATGGAGGTGAGCAGGGCACCAGGTGGGGGTGGGGGTGGGAGTGCAGCTGGGGCAGAGCCTAGGAGGAGCCAGGGGTGCTGTCAGGAGTTTGGGGAGCAGAGACCAGAAGAGTGAGCAGGGGTGCTGGCACAGGAAGGCCTGGTCAGAGTCCAGCCAGCCAGCACCAGGGAGCCCC